ACAAAATATAGACACACGCGAACGTTTTGATTAATATGCCTCGCTTCATTCTGCCCACCCACCGGGCACCTCGGGGTTTTTTTGCATGGGATCGATGGCAAAATTTCTAGGAGTGTCTGAACATCTCAAAACTAGGTTTTATCGCCTTTGATATAGCAGTAAGTTAGATAAACAATCCTTTTTCGTCGGCAGTAATCTTAGATCAGATGTAAACGCTTGATGGATGGAGAATGCATCATATGATTCACCCGAGATGTTTAGGCTGAGTTCTGTTCAGTTATTTTTACGCTCACAGCTTACATAGAAAGATAGCCATAACAAACAAAACACATCGCCAAATCTACACATGAAAAAAAAAAAGCAAAATTTAAATAAACAAAATACGAAAAATTCCCAAAATCAATTCGAGTGTGACTTACTTACAGGTGAGGTAGAGACACCTAGATTGTGTGCCCTCAAGGTAGGTAGCGTGACATGATGTCATGAATTAAAGAGCTAGATTTAACGTTCAATGTCATTAAATATTGGAAGAATAGTGATTTAGTTGATGCTGGTACAAAAGATATAAACAGCCGTCAAGAAATTGGAGTAACAGACGCAGATATAGTAGTGCGAGACATGATCAGTGGCGTGGTTTGCGAGAAAAATTCTATACATTTTGGTGAGACGAAGACAGATCTTAGAGAAGCAAAGAAGTCGCTTGAAGCAATCTACATATAGTGGTCATCTAAGGCCCAATATAGCTTTAAAATACATCAAATTTTACTTTCACCTTGGTGAAATTAAATGGCAGGCAAATTGAAGCGCTTTTAAATATGCGTTCGCCAATTAAGTCAATCGAGAAGAGTGCCATTCGACTAAAATGCTTTAAACCATTTGAATCAGCACTTAATCAAGCGTGAGTCATGTGACAGAACGGCAGTAAACAATCGAGTAAACAGAAGGAAATTTGCTCACCTTTTCAAGGTAACGCTCAGTGAAGTCGCTTAGAAGCGAGATTGGAGTCTCTAGCTGTGTATTCTCAACAACGTCAATCGAAGACTTTGAGAAGGATTTACTATAAAAGTCGTTCCTGTGCAGCCACAAAGAATAGTATGTGAAAGATTTTGAAGTATGCCACACAACCCATATGACGTCAATGAACTTCTAGAAGGATGAGCCTGCGATTAATTTCCGTGCGACGCGTTTCGGTCAGCGGTGAAAATCTGGATGTTTTTGGAAGTTTCGACAACAAATTCATGAGTAACTTTAATCAGCGATACCAGAATAAAGAATTTTAACAGAATTAGACGAAAATACGTAAATAAAACACAATTCTTTGATCATTGTAAGTTAAGTTAATCTAATTGATAAATGTATGGAACTGCAAGTTAGGCTCCCCCATTTTGGTCAGCTTTGAAAATCTGGAAAGTTTCGACAATCAATTCATGATTAATTTTAATCAGCGATATCAGAGTACATAATTTTAAAAGAATTAGAAGAAAAACGTAAATGAAACACCATTTTTTAATCAACATAAGTTTGGTTAATTTCATTGTCAAATGTAAGGAACTGAAAGTTGGGCTACCCCACTAGGGGCGTGGTGGTGAAATCGCAAAGGACGCCTCTTGTCATTTTACATAAAGTATCATTTCCCCGCTGACATGATGCCCTATCTCCATTGATTTTCAAACAATGTGTTGTGCATTTGAAATGACGGCGATTTTTGGTGGAACAAAGAAAAGACGATGCAAAAACAAATATGTGAGAGGCAGTTACTCTTTTAAGTCTGAATGTTAGCAGTTAAACCCAATCGTTGCAAAGCATCTTTTGACGTGACACTATACAAACCCCTATCAAAAGTATAGTAACGTTGTCCGTCTTTAAACTCACCTGTTTTTTTTTCCAGTGGTTGTCGAGGATTTTCCCTAAAATTGATCAAAGGTATCAATAAAAATCTGCATCGAATACAGATTATTATAATTTCAACTCACTATCTCTTTTCTGATTGGCCGAAAGTGACGATGAAATTTCGAAATCAGCACCTGCGACGTCATCTGGCTACAGATTACACAATAATCATGTCAAGGACACTCACGGTCACGGATAATCCTGTTATGTATGACCGCGGTGCATGATTTCTAAGGGTAATCACGTCAGGTTCGCGACCTTTGCGTTGCTTGCTGATCGGTATTTTTTCTACACGTTTAGAAATAAATGATTAGTTCCACTTACCGTGGTGACCATTTTTTTTTTCGTTCAATGTATAATAAAACAATTAGATTCGGTTTTTGTGATATCTAGAGTAGTCAAGGTCTCGGTAAGGGTTATTAGCCAAAGTCGAATAATTGTTTAGAATTACTGGTTTTTTTTCTTTAGTCTGTACATATTACAGAGAGAAGTAAAAAACAACTAGTGTAATCCTGAAAAACCCCCGACACTCGGTTGAATATTTATCCGCACTGTTCGATATGACGGTGGGCCTTGACGCAGAACTTGAGTTAAGCTGAGTTTTAAAATTTATCCGATGTGATTTATAGGGGGCGTTATTTAATAAGGGATAATCCAACATATTTTTCTATTCTTGGTTACCCTGCATGCAGAGCGAAAAAACAAATTAGAAAAGAAAAGACATCAGTCAAAGATCAAATGGAATTATTAAGCTTGTTATTTAATGGAAGGCTTTTTCAGAACCCGCCAATTTCCCATTCACAATAGATTTATAAAAACGACGGATCTGATTTAAAATAGATACATGGTACAGAGATATTGGCTGAAATACAACAGGAACTTAGCAATAAAATCAGAAAATCAAAGAGCAAACGGCGGAAATAACGGAACTTGTCACATCCTCTGTGTTAGCAAGTTTAGTTCCTTCTATTTAATAAAATACGTCACTTAATGAAATCTTTGTTTACAATCTACCATGCCGACATTTATTTTACAGCCAAGTATTAAACAAGAAAGAAACAATTAATATTTTAAAAGCATTTAATGAGCTAAGAATCAACATTCGGGAAGGTGTAATAACTATTCAAAGAAGTTTGTTAACAAAGCGGAAAACGCTATTATTTGCACAAACAGCAAATACGACGTTCATTTGAAATCATATCAATTTTGATCTTTAGCAAGGCTGAATGAGGTAGCTATCAGTACTAATAAAACCGTCAAGAATTTCGTGTGACTCGCGAAATCAAGGCATTGTTTTTTTTTGACGACAGAATTGAAACCAGACCAAGGAAGGAGAAACTTAGAAGTGCGGACTCCATTCGTTGTCTTGGGTAAGAAAATATTTTAGCTTTAAATCTTGAACGGATATCACAAAACAGCTCCGGTAAGATATCAGACTGAATTCGAAGGTTTTGGGCACAAAAAAACTTCTGAGACCCTTCTGTATTAACCTTAATTATATTAGCTGTACTCCATACTGAAATCATACAGTTTAGTTTACATTTAGAACTGTAGGATGTAAAGGAGGAAAAAAAAAACGATTTGATGATGAAGACTTTTAATTGATGCTTTCGATAGGTCTTTATTAACTAATCTGGCAAGTCTGAAAAAGTCAATCAAAGTGCAATCCCTACAGCAAAGTTAGAGAGTTAATTCAATTTTTCTGAAGATACAGCATTCAGTGACCTAAAAGTGATGATAAAGAACTTGCTTACAGAGTCTAGTTCTTGACTATTGGCTGACTGTTTCAGTGCAGATTCTAATAAAAATAGGGCATACGTTTCTTCACTGCCGTGCCTGCTCATAATTTTAATTGAAAAAGGAGACGCGCAAGATCTATCGCGAGGCGAAAAATCCACGCGAGTGCATCTCGTCGTAACCTGGATTGATTCTTGTTGCAGAAGCTATATACTTATGTAAATAGGGGTTATCTACGCAAGAAATCCTTTAGCTTCCACCTCACGTCCTGTTACTTGTCTGCAAATGAACGGATAGCGTGGCTTGACCTCACTTAGTTTATACGTAGATATGATGTCACAGTTCAAATTCTTTTCCTTCTTCAAAAGCTTTCTATTTCATCAAGAACAATACAAAACAAATCCCTCTTGATCTGTCAACAAACCTTTATGCCGAAAAGCAAACTGTCGTTAAATGATATACGTAAAAATTCAAAGGGGCCATCCTTGTTTACTCAAGGCCAGCCCGAACAGTGCTAGTAATTTCGTTTCTATGTATGTTGCCGTTGCGGACAATTTAGCTCTGAAATTTTCAACACTCATTCCCAAATAGAACAATCTGAGTCGAAGGTATGTATGATAGAATTCCATTGTTGTGATTAGGAATTGTCTACTACCGACTAATAACATGCCTTGAATTCAATCACTTTGTGGACGCAACAATTTGCTTAACAGTCTGTTAACAGAAGTTTTAGTTCCACATAAAGTTTTCAAATTAAAGCCATTTAAGTTTCGAGAGTCGTTCAAAATTATTTCCTCCACATTTTTTCGCGTCCATCATCCATCATTTCCAATCCCGCCTCAGCAAATTAAGAAAATTTATGCCTTTAAAGAATGAACGATTTTATGTAGCTAGCCACGCCAGATAATGTTTCATTAGTTAGGGTCAGTTTACATACGGGAATCTAAGTCATGAGTACTTAAATCCATGTAGACCAGGTTTGAAAACGTTTTTCCGAACCTCGTCCCTCCCAAGGCAGTTCATTCGTGTAGGGTGCCATCGGGTTCACCTTTGCTGGAAAAAAATCACGATTCTAGATAATTTAATTCAGTTGAGTTGTTAGCAAATAAAACGACCACGATTGTGACCAAAAGATGGCAAAATCTTGATCTCATTTTCATAACTTATTCCCAGTAGACAGAGTTAGGCCTTGGCAATGTGCTCTATGAGTTTAAGTAAACGATCGACAGATGAGACTTTTCTATCCTCTCTAAATCTGTTGCCTTGCGGTTTTTAAATGTCTCTCAGTTTAGTTTCAGAGGAAGCCAGAATATTCTGTGTTGTTCAAAACTGAATCACACTTTCTTTACACAGGATACCCACTCAACAACGCGATGATTGGCTTTCAATTAACTTCTGTGGCTCTCCTGTGCACGATGTGTCTAGTAAATGGATATGCAGGTACTGAATTCTACAGAAATTTAATTCAACACCTAACTGGTTTTATGAAAATGGAATCAGCCAGATCTTTCGGCTTTTTCCTATACCCAGTCTCCTCCTTCCTGCGTTGTATTAGTCTTGTGCCCAGGCTTCCTACTGTCAATTGGCTGCGGAATCGATGTGGGGGATCTTGGTGCAGGTTTACTGAATGATGAGTAAGTGCGACACTTTGTGGATAAAAATTACTGAGGGAAGGAGAGGCAGGTACTGAATGTCCACGAGTCTAAATATTTTCAAAGCTTAATACAGAACGAGAACGAGAGTAACCGGCTGACGCACGCGCATCGCGCAAAGAAGTTGAGATTCTCTGAGCGATTTCCTTTCCCCACCCTCCCCCTCCTTCTTCTCCTGTATTTCCCTTGTCATTAGCGTTCAGTCCTCCAACGGTCTTTTATGTGTTCATGGCTATCAATGAGCGAAGGACGTAAGATTAAGCAGAGATTTGTAGATAGGATGAAAAAAAAAGGGTGAATTAATATTTCGAACACTGTTGACCAGTGTGTATGATTTCCAGGGTGAAACTAAAAAATTGAATTGTTTAAGAAGAAAAAACATTTATGTTTTCTTAAAGGGATTTTTGGCGATGAGTGCCCCGTTGAACTTTCACAAAAGACTTCCAGGGCTTGCCAAGAAAGACGTTATCGACAACTGCTGGCTAATAAGAATATCTATCAGTTGGTTCCCATTTCATTTCTTCCTAATGAACCAATCAGATGGTTGAACATGACAAGTGATAAGATGGTAAGTTGCTCTACAGACTCACATTCCGCTCATCGGAGGTCTGGTGATTAATTGGTTAACCTCTATCCATTGAGAACACATTTTGATACAGTGCGATGGAAGCAAAACCAACGAAACCACAGCAGCCAATCAGAGGATAGGAAAATTTTACAGGGAGCCAATAAGAAGCCGGATTAAAAAAAAAAACTCGCAACAACCTGAAAAGTGGAAAAGCGCATATGACCAGGTCACGATAGGTTATAGTTTTGCCTCTCATTGGTTGATAATGTGGGTTGAATTTTCAACACCGATCACAAAGCATCAAGCGACACGTGTAATTTCGGATTACTTCGATGCTCATCTGAAAAGTGTTCTGACTAGCTAATTGCCCTGTGATTAACTGTTCCTTTCCCCGTAGTTCATGACAGTTCTCTTTCTTTCGTCCAACATGACGCACGTGTTTTAGAAGGTTTCAAATATCATTCCTGATCACTACATGGCGATAAAACTAAGGTTAATGGTACTGCAGTTTAACAACATTTCTGAGGTCCAATTGCCTTTGAAGATGATGACTGATTGGTAAAAAAAAAAGGGCAAAAAAAAACAGCAATTAATTCTTCTCAAATTTCAGGAGGAACTTTTCCTTCCCAAAGTCAATTCTCTACCAAGATACAGAACTAACAACTATGTACCCAACAATATCTTTCATCTTCGTCTCTTTGTACTTTTATTTCCTACATTAATGGTAGACTATTCATCCCTTCTCCTTTAATATCTTCATTAACTTCTAGTCAATTTTCATCAAATTTTAGTGAAAATTACACATATGTGAATAAATGGCTACTACGAATTACCAGAGTAAAAGTAAAATCCTCCAGAAAAATTGTAGAAAAGATAAATTCAGTCCTTAGGGGTTGAAACGTTCGAAGGTAAATACAGTGGTGTTTTTGTTTTATTTCAAGAGCCTTGTATGGTTTGTTTTGTTTCCTTCAGAGAGCTGTATTCAGTAAACACCCGTTCGAGCAATGGGAATTTAATATATACCTTGCAAAAACCGCGGGAGGTGCTGAGATTTTGAAACAGTGGCACAAACTTAATGCAGGAGAAGATATACAAAGTTTCGCGGACTTTGTGAAGATATATACTTTCTTCCGAAAAGCGCAAGAAAAATTGGGGGTAAGCAGATGTAACATTTTGATCTAGAATAGGCTAAGAAACTTCATTCTTTTGATGAATTCACAAGATGATTCTTGTTCGCTCACTACTCACTTTGTGTTGGCTTATCGAATGATCAGCAATGGATTGCCGCCTTGTTTTTTTGCAGTTTTATTAGCTATTTACGTCTACATGTTGCGCTCAAAACTTTTTTTCCCGATAGGATCCGTATTTCAAAAATCCCTCCGACGAAGAACCGTTCCAGAACATCATCAAGTACTGGATGCGTGATAAAGTGTTCGCTGAACAGAGGCTCGCGGGAGTCAATCCTATGACATTGATGAGGATCTCAACCGATAGGGGTAGAAAAGAAAAATTTTGAACTAAGCGCGGGAAAATGGCGCTTGACTTTGATTGATATTGCACGTTGTCTTAATCACATTACATAATGGGTGTGGCCAGGAGGAAGGGGTCTTTAGGTGCACACTATCCCCTTTTTGCCAAAGTGATGATTTATATTAGGGAAAGGGAAAGTAGGCCAAAAAAACTCTAAAATGGCCTAAGGAAGCTAGAGTAAGGCCTCTTCTCAATAATCTCAGGTTTACGCCGCTTTTTAACTTATGCAACATTTGATAACCTTTTTTACAAAGTGACAAGTATTACAGCACAAGAAAGCGCTTTTTAACTTATCACAAATTGTACTGTATTTTTTCTATGGGGACAGCGGAAAAGAGAGATTTTTTTTCTATTCACCCTGTCAATTGGAAGCACAGGATACATATGCCATTAGCTCTTATGTTCAGTTTGACTAATTTTTTTTCTTGTCTCACAGAGAATGTTGGTTTGAAGTGGAGCGAGCTCAAGAAAGTTTTAAATCAGGAGTTTGATTGGGAAAATCTTATAATCAATACTCCAAATATGCCAAAGATCTCACTGCCAAAAGTAAGTCCTATTTAGACGAAAGTTTTTGTAAGTGTGAATTGAGGCGGCAAGGCCATCCAAATATTTCAAGCTGATCTCCTTCCATTGAACTCACAGAGTTAGTTTTACAGTGAGGGAAATTTGTAGAATTTAGTTTTAGTTTGAGAAGAGTCAACCAATAAGAGACGATCCCAGTAAAGGACGCTGATTGGTCAAGGAGAACAGGAAGAGTTTAAGCCAAAGTTTTCGAGACGCAAGAGATGCTAAAAAGACTGAAATTTTTTAGATTCATGATTTTATTGCTAATTTAAAGGGCTGTCTCATTAGAAGATCAATTTATTCATGTCAGTATATAATAAGTTCTAGACAGCTTTCAGTAGGGATATTTGAGAACCGGGCCACACATCTGTTTTTGGCCTAAGTAGTGAGCTTAGTTTTGTCGGTTTGAAAGCGAAAACAGGAAATCTGACGGCCATCTTGGTTTAGAATCATCAAATGCTCCTATCTTTCATTGGTCTTCTAAGCCGAGCTCCTTGGCAAATTACCACTAAGTTCTTAGTGATATCCGTGGAGCGTGATTCACAACCTTTTCCCGTTGTGATCCCTGCCACAAGACCCCTCTCTCGCTTTCCCCCACACAACTTTTATCTACAATCCTCGTTCATCCACAGGCAATAAGCAGCAAAATGGTGTTTGTTTTACGTTATCCACTTTTGGATTATCTACCAGCGATGCCAGACATCATGGAGTCGCGTCCTCATAGAAAGATGTGGGATCCTACTTCACCGATAACGTTCTTTGCAGTCCATCCAAACAACAGAAATAATCTGATTCCAATAGCCATTCAAATGGACGTCAAGCCCGGTATGAATATTTTCTGTACAGAGTACAACGTGCGCTGTGAGCATGCGTAAGAGGTCCTCAGTCCGGAAAAAAAACAAGACCCTGAAAAAGAATGTCGATTATTGTAAAAAGACCTCATCCATCTGCGTCCACTCAATGAAAGTGACCGAAAAGTATCTTGGTCCACTTTGAGGAGGGAGGGAAACTTTCGGAATTAATTAGTTTCCGCTTGATTTGACGTTTGTTCAATACAGGTCGCAATTTAGTAAAAATTTTCTTCGATTTCATCTATTTTTAGGTTCTCCAGTTTACACACCGAAAGACGATGGCCTCTGGATGCTGGCAAAGCTCAGCGTCCAAGGCGCAGATCTCGGCTACAACCAAGTCGCTGAACATTTGACGAAGACGCATCTTCTCTTGGAGCCCTTCTGCGTGAGTAAGGACAGACAGTTGTCCGAGAATCACCCACTTCATCAGATCATCAAGTATCACTGCAGGTTGTGCATCATTTTAAAATTTTTTAATTGGGAATTTGCATCTAGATACGCGTAATATGAGAAATATCCTGATCATGATCGTGTCTTGATCGTGATTTTGTCGTTATAGAAATCGTGCTCGTGCTCGTGCTCGTGTTCGTGCTCGTTATTGTATCGTATCGTGATCGAAATCATGTTCGTGATTGTATCGCCATTAAAATCGTGATTGTGTTCATGTCGTGATTTTTTCGAGATCGCGATCGTGATCGTAAGAAAATTGTGACCGCGATCGTGATTATCACTATCATTGCAGAGGCATCAGTATAACAGATAAGTTGGCCTTTCAACTTCTGTTAGGACCGAATGAAAACCTGCACAAGCTGTTCCCGTACGGTTATCGTGGAGCTGTAAACATTGCTCTGAAGTCTTACAGGCAAACAAGTTGGAAAGATACAGATTTTATGGGAAATATTAAGGTAAAGCTTGTCGCATACCGGTATTTTTCTCCAAAATTTCATCCTGTACTCGTAGGCGTACAATATAATAAGGTATGGTTCTCCTTAGTTGACAATGGTTGCCTAATAGGCGGAGCAAAACTTACATACGTTCACGCTGGAGCCTGTAAAACTCAAGTTTGGATTGTGAGTGGAATCTATAATGAACGGTTTTCTAATTTTAATCTGCATCCAAGGGATTGACCTCAGACTATCGGATTTCGCGGCTGGAAGCGACTCCAACTCTGCTTTTCAAAAAGCTAAGTACTTCATTGCACGTAAGTGCCTGATGTTTGCTATTTTCACCTTATCTCCAGAAACGCGGACTGGACTTCAGAACCCTCCTTTATTTTCCTTACAGAGATGATGGTAAATTCATCTTCGAAACGATCCAAAAAGCGGTCCGAGAATATGTCAATCAGTAAGTTGCGTGTGCATATGCGTGCATAAGCGTGCTTATTTCCTGTTTAGTGAGCTAATGTTATGGTATATTCAGGCTATACAAGCATTGACAGCCTATTTAGCTTGTTTTTATCTTTTTTTCTCCACTCCAGGTATTATGAATGTGACGAGGACGTACAAAGCGACTATGAGCTCCAAAATTTCATGAATGAGGTATCTGCAGATGGCGTAGGGATTGATGGAGGCAATGGAAATGTAAGAAAAGCAAAATTTTTGTCTTTTGAAGCATTCTATAAAATTGGCTGGCCCATGACTTTTCTCGCACAGGAAATCACTTGCACGACTCGGATCAAAGATCCATCGTAATGAGAAAGGGGTTGATCTCAGATGTGTTTCTAGCGAATACAAATAGTCCCCGGTGAGGCAACATTCTGCAGATGAATCAGACTAACGTATTCCTCTTTCAGGTAAAGGATCTTCCCAATGAGTTGACCTCAGTTGATAGTCTTGTGGTTTTCCTGACAAGACTTCTGTGGCAATTAAGCGCACAACACGCAGCCTTGAATTATCCCGTGACAGACTATGGAGGGTTTACACTCAACATGCCCACGAAGCTGTATCGAGATTCACGAGTCTCCGATGACGTGTTTTCCTTGTTCAGTTTTCCTAATGCTAACATTTCTGCGGTGAGCATTCGTTTCTTTTTATATCACCACATAGCTTTAATTTCCACCAAGAGATTATAAACGGTTAATTAACAGTTTATATTATGGCCTGCAGTGCAATTTCTGTGCGGGCCTCATGTCACAACTTTATTTCAGGGTTTAAGAATGTCACCCGGTTAGTTTAGTCGTTTGAGCATGTGATTTCCCCTGCGGAAGTTCGGGAGCGTCAGCTCCATTATAGAACCAACTCAATGGTCTTGCTTTTTTGAAGACATGTGCAAATGGTCTGACGATGTAATATTCTAGTGAAAGGACGCCATACCCAGCATACAAACTAGGTCCTGCCCCCTGTATTTTCAAAGTCGAGCGGTTAGAACCGATCGTTTACGAACCTAGGCACAACGAGCACGGGGTAAGCGAGGGGCACGGGGCACGGAACACGGAGCTCGGAGTACTGAGCAGGATAAAAAGACCATGGGGCACAGGGCTTAGGTCTCTAAGTGCATGTAGCGCTCTTGTGTTTTTTCTGTGTCTCAACAGGTCTAAATAAAACAAACTCGCTAATTTCTGTTCGTTTTTTTCTTCTGAGCAGCTACACGCTGAATGATAACGAAGGCGCAAACAGGACAACACTTAACCTTTCAGTTAATGACGTAATTTTATTGTAATCAAACTAATACCTACTGCTGTTTTTTCTTCCAAAAGCAACACGCAATTGTTGCCTTCTCCCTGACAAATTACCGTTACGATAGTCTCTTCGACTATGGAAGCCAACTGCCGGACAAACGCGGAAGGGATGTAATATCCAAATGGTTTAACTTCCTTCAAAGACGCGTGCAGCCGAGCTTAGAGAAGAGGAATCAAAACCGGTTCAAAGGGGATCATTTGACCTACCCCTACCTACTGCCTCGCTGGATACCGAACGGCGTACAGACATAAAGAATACTGAATAAGATTGCGAGATAGAGGGAGAGTGGTTTTGGTTTTTTTGTTTCTTCGGATTGAAGAAGAAAAGTTCTGAAACATGAAAATGATTTCTACATTGTTCAAACCATGTTAAGCGATTAATAAAGCAGAACTATTAATGAAATATTGATCTTGAGTTGACAGATGAGTATTTAAGCTGTATGTCGACATTTAATTTCGTTTTAGTTTTAGAAGGGGAGTGGAAAGGATGCCGCGTATTTCCGTTCAGCGAGTGATATGAGCGCGCAAGAACAGCCTGAGGGTTCTAGCGCCAGACCCCTTACAGACCTTGCGCTCGTTTGCATCTCGCAGGCTTGGCCACTCGTGCCGTAGCGTTGACCCTTTAACTCCCTTTTTTTTATTGGTAATTCTCCTTACTGTCTGCCAAAAGATTCTCATTATGTTAGTTTGGAGAATTTGATATCGGATCAATTAGTAATCCCGAGGGTCTTGGAATTATCATTCGTCTTGTGGTTTGAGGCAGCAATATGTGATAACTGCGTTCATATAAGAGAGGTACGTGTTATTGTTATTGTCCGGGAACTCGATACTTTTTTAACGACAAATTAGCTTTTTCCGACATTTTCATAGCAAAAATAGAAAAGGGTTATTATCGCCCTGAGCAAAACTAAATCGCTACGTTGGAAGAGGTATATTGACGACGTTTTCCGTCTGTGGAACAGAAGCAAAACGTTTGTACAACGGGCGAACAGCTTTAATCTGTTCATTGTATCACGATACAATCACTATTCACGGCTGAAATATCAGACTCAGAATTTATATTCTTGAACACAAACGTGTTACGCATTACAAAGAGACGGAGATGTTCGAATTCTTGAGTTTTCATCCATGTCAGGCAAAAGGAAAAGGATTCGTGAGAGGAGAAACACAATGCCTCCTATGAATAAATTCATCGCACTCCCAGCTTAATAAAACATAGAGCGTTTCAAAATACGCTTAAAGAACAGAGAATACCACGGCCTCTGCGAACTCGCTGCTCTTTTTCTTTCCAAATTCTAAAGCTATCTAGCGTCTGCTCATTCCATGTTTCTAAAATTCATCTAATAAGCCGTATAATAACAACACGCTATTGTTGCAGTTCCTTCTGCGATGGAACTGCAAGCGAAAGGAAGAGAAAATAACTTTTAGTTTTTTTTTAATAACAAGACATCAATGAGACATTGTTTGAAATTACTTGGAATCTAAGTCCACAGAACCTGATAATTTTGAATAATTTTGTGTTCGGGTTTGACTTTTATCTCAGAGGTATTTCCGTGTAA